CTGATCGTTGACAGACGCCAAGAATGCCAGGTGCTGTCTGCCAATCAGGACCCTGTGCAAGGGTTCAGGTCAAACGGGCCACTCTGGCTGTCTTAATTAAGCCTTAATTAAGCATTCTGCCCGGAAATCTCTTCTGCCTCCTGTAGAACTGCCCAGTTTACAGCAAACAACTCAAGGAACAGGGTCAGCTATTAGGAAATGGCAGCCATTAAGAACGACGCCAACAGCTGTGAATGACTGCCAATTCAATTCAGAGATCATTGAAAACCACAGGGCCTAGAAACCCAGAAATAAGGCCCTAATTAAGCATTCTGCCCTCTGTCCCTCACCTCAGTATAGTATCCAGTTTGGGTCACCCCACTTTAAAAGGACATAGAGACTGTCATGGCTGGGAGTTTTGCCTAAGGAAAGAATCCAAAAAAAGGAAAAGGCTATACAAAATGCTCACTGAGGCACTATCCCTAAAGACAAAAGACAAAACAACTGAAAACAGGAGAATGGTTAAGTAAGTGACAGCACATCTTTTTTTGTGAATCCGTAAAAATACTAACCAGAAGCCATATAACATTCAAGAAAAATCATTTGATTTAACATAAACCATAGGTTATAAAGTCATATCTAGGCTCTGGGTACAATTTGTGTAAAAGTGATGCTGGGGCAGAGACAGGCAAGGAACAGAAAACAGCAAGTTTGAGCTGATGGTGCTCAATTTAGGTGGTACATTATTTTTCATTTTTATTTGAATTCTCATTATTATTGTTTGTGCAGCAACGATACTTCTCTTAAGGATCAGAGAGAGACAATCTCTCAGAAGACAATCAAAGCTTTGAGGGATGAAGCCAAGGTTCCCTGGGGAGTGGCAATGTGGCAGGCAAATGCACACCAGCCTAAGCATCAACAGGGGCACACCTCATTTTACCCAGGAACTGTCCCCTGTGTGACCTTCAGCAAGTCCCTTCTCCTTCCCGTACCTCCATTTCTACTTCGAGATCTAGGGGGATTCAAAGGCTTCTGCCACCTCCAATTCCATGATTCTGACTGGTGGAGGAGAGGTCAGAAGTCTAACCTATTCTCATGTGACAGCCAGTAACCAGCCTGCACTGGGCATACCTGTGGCACAGATGTCATGAGCACCATTTAAACTAACTACTCATCCCACTTCTGAGGTCCAGAATCCAGGCATCTATCTCAGAGTCTTTGTACCCTCCACTCAAATCCAACCACTCTCCAACTCCTGTTAATGTGACCTCCTCAACATCTCTCAAGTTTCCACTTCTTTCTATCCCCAATGCCATCACACATGTTCAGGCTAGCATGATCTCTTACGTAGATCACTGCAGCAACTGGTCTTACTTCCTCCCGTCTTGCTCTTCCCCAATCCATTCCCCACACCACAAAGTAATATTTTTCTAAGATGTAAATCTGATCATGTCACTCCCCTGCATAAAAGTCTATGATGTATTGGGTGTTTTTCTTAGCTAATGAAAAAGCTTTGAAACTAGACAGAGGTGGTGTTTACACTAAATGCCACTGAATTGTACATTTTAAAATGGTTGCTTGCATGTTACATGAATTTTACCTCACTTTTTAAAAAATCTCTATAATGTCACCCCATCTTTTAGTGTAATTTATTACGGTCCTTACTGTGAACTCTGGAGCCAGACCTCCTTGGTTCATAACCCAGTTCTACTACTTACTACATCTGGGACTGTGAGCAGGTAACTTAACCGCCTGGTGCCTGTTTCCCCACTGGTAAAATGTGGGTAACAACAGTACCTGCCTCATAAGGTTATTGTGAGGACTGATGAGTTAATGCATGTAAAATACTTAGGACCCACCAACTGCCATCGAGTCGATTCCGGCTCATAGTGACCCCATAGGGCTTCCAAGGCTGTAAATTTCTACAGCAGCAGACTGCCATGTGTTTCTCCTGCGGAGCAGCTGGTGGTTTCGAACCAGTCAGCAGTCAATCACTTTAACCACTGTGTCATCAGGCCTTCTTAAAGTGCTTAGAACAGTGCCTGACATGTAAGAACTCAATAAATGGCAGCTGCTGTTATCATTATTCATAGGCCTTCAAGGCTCTACCAGCTGAGGCCCCACTCACCTCTCCTGCCTCTGCTTTCCTCTATCTCACCACTCATCACCTCTCAGAGAGTTCCAGCCCTGCTGAACCTCCTTCAGTTTCGCTCTTACCACTGAGCCTGTGAACATGCCATTTCATTGCCAGGTACACTCTTACAGCTCCTTGTTGCCTGGCTTCCCCAATTGACTTTTTAGAGGTGCTTTATTGAGATATAATTCATACAACATACAATATACACATTTAAAGTATACAAGTCAGTGGTTTTTAGTGTATTCACAGACCTGTGCAACCATCCCTACAATCCATTTTAAAACATTTCATCATCCCTTCCTCTCCCTGTCCCGTGCAAAAAAAAAGCCCCGTACCCATTATCAGTACCTCTCCATTTTCCTCCAAATCTCCCAGCCTTTAGGTTAGGTTAGGTGACATCAAGTTGGTTCCAACTCATAGCGACCTTAATGTATAACAGAACGAAATGTTGCCCGGTCCTGTGCCATCCTCACTAATCTACCCCAATTGACTTTTAGGCCTCTGTTTTCATCCCACTTGTTAAATTCTCTCTGACTTCCAATTCTGGGTCAGGTGCTCCCATGGTGTTCAGTACTCTCCCTCTCTTGGAACTATGTTTGACTATTTACTTGTATATATCCCCTGCTAAAATACAAACTCCATGAGGGCAGGGCTGTGGGTTCTCTGATTCACCATGATTCTTCAGTGCTTAAGAGATGTTCACTAAACACTGGTTGAAAGACTGAAACTAATGGTACTAACTAGTCAAAACCTAGGCTCTATAAAAACAGCCCTACTGAAATAAATCAACAGTATCAGAGTCGTCTCTATATTACAAATACCAAAAGTAACAGTATATTTGAAAATTCGTGACATTCAAATTCCTACAACTATTCTCATTTAAACCGCCAACTGGAATAAGGCAGATCCTTGTAAAATGAGTGTGATTCAGCTGCTTTAACAAAGTAAGTCTGAGAGTAAGAGTGAAAACAGCTGCGGAGGCTGGGTAGGAAGAAGCAAGAAAGATCCACATTTTAAGTGTTCAATACTTATAGGTTTTACATGACCTGGAATTACTAGGTCATTACTAAGTAAAATGAATACAAGTAGTTTTTGTTTAAAATAAAGTGCAAAAAAGGAAGGAAAGGAGGGCGGAGGGAGAAAGAAAGAAAGGAAGGGAGAATGGAAGGAAGGAAGGAGGAAAAGAGGGAAGGAGGGAGGGAGGAAGGAAGGAAGGAAAGGTGAGTTTCTTCATTCTGGAAATTTCCTATAAAGCCATTTCTGTTAAGCAAATTCTATTTTCATGCAGACTCCCATTATAAAATTAAAGCTGGGTTCCTCCAGACTATAATCTGTGCCTTAGGTGCTTGTATCAAAATCCAATGACCTAATAAGAAAAGCAATTACCTCTTAACAAAACATGAAGACAATTTTTCAATACATCAACATATGCTGCAAAGTAATTACAAAATAAAAACAACAAAAGCCTACCCCACACACACTTCAATCTACTTCATACACTGATGGCAAATAAATCTTACTAAAGAAAGCACAGCTCTGGTCATGCCTCTCCCTTATTCAGATCTCTTCAATGGCTCCCCATTGCCTTCAGGATAAAGAACAAACTCCTAAGCGGGTGCTTAAAGATCCTCCTCTCCTTTTGGCTCTGACCTACTTGTCTAGTCTCATTTCCTTCTAATCACCTTCAAATAACCCCTGAGACAAATTGCACTGAGTGCCTGCTATGGCTTTATCTTTTTCCACCTCTCTCTAGAATGTTCTTTACCCACCCCGAGCCCCCCATGTCAAAATTCTACCTCTTTTTAAGCCTCACTCAAATGCTACCACCTCCATGAAGTCTTCCATGATGCTTTCCTCCATAACACATGACCTCTACAGCCTCTAGGCTTCTACAGTTTTTTCTAGAGATGATTCTCATGTATTTATCACTGGTTGGCTTGTATTGTAGTTGTTTCTGAGCAGGTTCTCTACTTCCAAATAAACTATAAACTCAAATTCCCCCCTCATATTTAACATATGTCATGCAAATGTTGGTGGCGGTCACCTTCCAACTGATTCCTACTCATGGCAACCCCACGTGTACAGAGAAGAACTGCTCCATAGGGTTTTTAAGGCTGTGGCAGGAATAAAAATATCAGTGGGTAAATAATGAAAGTAAACAGGGGATTTAAGTTGAAACTTGGAATATTAAAGAGATTTGCAGATAGATAAAATTTTCCAACCACTTAGGTATGTTCCCTAAGTTTCAAGACATGCTACCTCTCTAAGGGCAGTGATAAATTAGACTGCTTCTAACTTATTGTACTGTGGTTTTTTTTTTAAATCATTTATTTGTTATTTTATTCTCTCATTCAATAAATATTTATTTAGTACCTTCTGCCATGCAAACTCTACAGAGTAAACCAGGGAATTATGGACAAAGGAGTCAGGAGACTTGTGTTCAAGTCCTGATTCTGCCACTGTTGCCCTCTCAGGACACCTGCTGCACCATCTGAAACATAGAGACGCTCAACCTGAAAATCTCCAGTCTCGGGGCTTACATCCTATAATCCCACAATTCTGAAAGCCAGTTGGCAATTTAATTCCAATGGTATTTAATAATTATCTCATTTATATATAAAATGATTAATGATACTGCAATCTGAAAGCACAAAACAAATGTGAGTTTTGAGAAGAACCCATGACAAACAAATTGCAATGATGAAGACCAAATTTTACTTCAACAGGTTTCACAAATCTTAAGTGCTCAAAAACAAATACACCATGGAAAAAGATTTAAAAATATATACTGAGAAGACATCACAATAGGAAAAAAAAAAAGGCTCCCTTTCTGAGAACAGTCTAGAGAAACCAGGACATAGCGAATGAAAAGACATCAACTCACCAGTCGAGCAGAGCTGAAGGGACTCCTCCAAGGAAAAAAGTTGGCCCCACTTCCTCAGCAGCCCCGTGCTGGCACCTCCCCTCCATACCAGGACACTGCTCCTGGGCCTCCCAGCACACAGCTATTTTTAAAGATAAAAAGCCACATTCCCAAGATTGCAGCCACAAGAATGTGCATATCAAATGACCTTCCCATAGCACGTCAATAAGCCCAAGTAAAACTGAACGCTGTGCCATGCGGGCAAAGTTGAATGGTCCCTCTGTGGCCCAGGCCCCGCTCCACACAGGGCCATGGTCCTCCTTATCTGCTGGATGCGGGACACTGCAGCTTCATATCTCAACATGAATCTGGCTTCTCTCCTTTCAGCACGACAGTCCCAGAAGTCCTCCAGATGCCTTTCTCACCCTCAAGATCTCAGCCATTTAAACCAGCTGAGAGAGGAAACTCTAGAGGCCCTTGATTGGCAAACTGATTTCCTCTACGCCAAGTGCAACACAGAAGATGACCTTGAAGGTCTCAAGATGCATCCATTTTATGGGTGTATTCTGAACTACAGCAATACCTTGTCTCCTGCTGGTATTGCCCAGTCATTTTTGGTTAGTTAGTAACAACAGCATTAGCTCGCTAAGCCTCACAGCATCTCAGGGAGATAGGTCACCACCAAGCACATTATCCCCCCTTAACAGATGGGGAAATGACGCCACAGGAAGATTAAATAACCTGCCCAGGCTCACACAGCCTGCCGCAGGTGGAGCACAAGAGATCTCAGCCCTTGTGCCAGCTCCTGAATGGAAAATGCTGTGAAGAAAGCCCTCTGCAGTTCTAGGATCCCAAGCAGTGTGGATGGTTTGCGTGGCAAAGATTGAAAAAGAAATAAACACAGAGGTAATCTTAAAATTACTTCAATTTTCTTTCTTTTCCTGTGTCTCCCCAGAATGTCATGAGAGAAGGATGATTTTAATACAAATGTATTAAATGAAAGATGGTGTGGGCACTGATGTAACAAGATGGCAGAACAGTCCTGCAGGCAGCAAGGGGCCTCAGTGAATAAGACCAAAAGGGGGTCAAGCTGAGTGGGGTCCTATCAGTGACCTCGGTGCTCTGCACCCCACAGGACTCTGCATAAACTGGTGACCTCTGGCCTGAAATTATGTCCATTTCCTTTCTTTCTACAAGTGCCTACACATTTAAAAACACAAAGATGAACTGGAACCATCCCCACAGTTAAGAAGCTTGAAATACTATCAAGGAATATACACAGACCACTAAAATACAAATTAAAAATAGTAAGGGCCAAAGCAGAGGGGCTGGTAGAAAGCCTGGGAGTTTGATGGTAAGGGATCACATCCACATGTGGATATACTGGGGTGAGCTATCAGGGGAGGCTTTGTGGAAGAGTTACTGGGCATGAAGGATGGGACAGTGAGACCTGCAGAGGTGGTGAGAAGGGCACTGCAGGCAGTGGCTGGGGCAAGGCATAGAAAGTGTATAGATGGGAGATGGCACAGGGCTACCCTGAAGACCAAAGGTTCAGCTCAGAATGAAGGGTGTGTGGGACAAAGAGTATACAAAGTAGGGTTGAGGGATTCAGGATGAGCACGGCAGGTAGAAGCCACATCACCAAAAGCCTTAAGTGTGAAACTAAGGAGGTTAAATTTTACTCCTATTCAGAAGTGTTCAACACTGTGCCTTGCTCACAGTAGGCACTCAATAAATGTTGGGGCAAACTGCAAGAAGACAGTATAATCTGTGGGTAAAGCAGGACAACCATGAAAGGAGACACCAAAAAAGTCACCTCTATTTTCTTTTATCAACTGGTATCTAGTCAGAACATCTCCTAAATTTACTTTACTATCCAAAATACCTGCTACATTTTGCCCAAAATGGAGACCATAACACTTGCCATCAGCTTCTCACCCAAGAACACTGAAAACTAACGAGAAGGTAATGTCTGCAAAATGCTCAAAGCTCTTTGGAAATGTGTGGCAAAGGCATCACTTTAATTAATATTTAAAGAGATTCTACCCAGCTCTGATCTCTTTTTCTGCAGACTAATGTTACGTACACAGGATAGCGTGATGCCAGATTGGCCCCTAAATAAACCTTTCCAAAAGCGCCCAACACAGGTACACTCTCCCGAGTCCCTTACATGTGGCTGATGGCACTCATGATCACACCAGTGCAGGGGTGGTTTCTAACTTGGGAATCCAAAGTTACCAAAGGGTATGAGGAAAAATACATCAGGTAGAAGAGCAAAATAGATTCCAAAAAGTGGTATTCCTTAGCACCCCATTTTTAAGCATGAGAGAGAGTCCAGTGAAGACTTCAAGGGGAATCATTTTAGCAAAACCCACATCCTAAGCCAGTTAACATTTTTAGGTCTAACACAGTACCCAAGAAAGGAAGAAATAAGAATAGCTTCCTCGGCTCAATTACAAATGGAGTGGAAAAAATAATTTCAAAAGTTCAAGGGGAAAAAAAATCAATCCATTTCCTTTCCCCAAAGGTTTCACTTCTATAAATATACTCACACAAATGGACTCAAGACCACTCTTCCTTCTGAAAACACTACCTGTCTGGAATTTGCAAGATAAATTATGTGCCTGTCTTGCTTTCAAACCACTGAAGCTCCAAAAACTTCTCTCTTCTTCTGAAATAACACTCCTTCTCCCTCCACCCCCTTCTCATTATAAAAGTAATACATGTGTCTGGTAGAAAATTTTTCTTCGTTGGAAAGGAAAAATGAAAATAATCCACTATAATCTACAAATTGCTAGTTACCCTTCCAGAGTGTTTGTGTGTGTGTGTGAATAAATATATAACTGGGATCTTACTGTATCTACTAGTTTATAACCTGATTTTCTTCTTAGAACAATAAACTGTAAACATTTTTCTGTCTTTATTATTCTACAACTTTTTTTTTATGTTTACACCCTATGGGAGTGTCATTCTTAAAGCTAATACTCTATTGCTGGACATTTGGTTTATTTTAGCAATGTTTTTATCACAAATAATGTTGAGACAAACATATTGGCATAATACATCTCTAACTATTCTCTCAGGATAAATTCCTAAGTTACACTGCTAGGTAAAATACTATGTACAAGTTTTTAAGGCATTTTATATAGCCAAATTGCCCTCCAAAAAGGTTATCCCAATATCACTCTCTCAGTCAACGGAAGAGCTACTTGCTCTCATCACCTCTAATTTAGTAATTTATAAAGGAGGTGCTGGTGCATTGATTTACAGTTTTTTTAATTACTCTTGAGGCAGAGCCCTCTCCCCAAATGTTTAGTATCTAGTTGTATTTTTTCAGAGTATTTCTTTACTGTGTGCTTCTACTCATCAGAAAGCCACACTTCCCCCAGGGGCAGCCCAGTGGTCTCCCTGCTTGGCACCTGCCACTCACATTTTCACCTTGGCGTCCTTCATTCCTCTCTCAAAAAACAATTCACAGTTCCAGAGGGTAAGTCAGATACAGAACCCAATAAACTTATTCACTCATTCATTTATTCACCTGGTATCTCTTGGGTGTCTGTTATGTACCAGGTACCATACTAAGAGAGAAGTATACACAAAGCACTATGAGAACCCAGGAGAGAGAAGGTCAACAAGGCTGGAACAGCAGAGGGACACTTGAGTTGAACAATAACTAAGAGTTTTAGTGGTAGATGAGGAAGGAAGGAGCAGGCTAGGCAAAGGTCCAGAGGCATGCCAGAACGTGATGCGTTGAAGGAATATTTTCATTTTTAGGGCAGGAAATGAGGGCTGAGGATAAGACTGAAAAATTAGCTCATGCCAAATCTACCTGCTAAACTGCTCTCCCCCCTATCCTGCTGCCCCAACCTCCCTTCTCCAGCCCCTCACCCCTACCCACTGCATCTCAGCTCTGGCTTGCAATCTCTGGCCCATCTCCAATGTAGACTCCATCCTCACCATCCATCTCTCCAGACCTCTCTGCCTGAGGCCGGAATCTTGGCACTCACGCCAATCTACTAAGCATTCCCCAGTGAATAGATGGTTCAATTCTCTGATTCTTGGGAGCCAGTCTTATTAATCCAGCTAGAAAAAGAAACTTCTGGCTAGTGATACATTTTCTTGTACCCCTAGCCTCTCAACACTGGGCTAAACTTATAATAGACAATCAATAAAAGCTTATAGGCTCTACCCAAATTAAATTGGGCAGAAGAAATGCAAGCAAGAGGATGTGCATGTACAGGTTGTACGCATCTGTCATTCCGACAGCTGGGAGAACTGAAACTGTCTTTGAAAATTAACTTCTGAACACAATCATGGCAAAGATAGATTCTCATTAGGCATGTAATTCTGCATCTACCTAGACATTTGTCAGTCAGACACACAAATAGTACTTGCTAAACTGAGCTATGTACCCCAAGAGCTTCTGTGCATAAAGGTCAATATATTCCAGAAATTTGGATTTTTTTTCCTTTGAGGGAAGGTAGGAGAGGAGAGGTAAGAAGGCTCCTAACACGTGTCATCTCTGCTGGGATTTTTCACAGTGATCATTCCAATTCAAAGCAAATATCCTGATGCCACCTTGGAGGAATTCCTCTCCATCATTTATGCTCTCATGTAGGCAACAAACATTTCTAGATAATTCTTCCCTGAGGGCAAAGATCCCTACATTCCTCAAGTGGTTAGTCTCTTCCTGTTCTCGTTCAGATTTCCCCAGCCCTGGATTCATCCCCCTACAGTAGCACCCATCACAATGAGTGGCTTGTTTGTCCCCACACTGGGCTGTGACCTCTACAATGCTGAGGGCTGTCTCTCTGTCCCTATGTGCCCTACGGCCTTGAACAGCACCTTTCACGTTATGGAGCATCAATCAATGTTGTGGTATGAAATGTAATGTCAGAGCCGTAAAGGACCCTAGAAATAACCTAGTCCACAGACAGAAAATTGAGGCCTAAAGAGGGGAAGAAAACTCTTCAAATTCACACAAAGAGTTAGTGGCAATTAGTAAAGAAAGAAAAAAATCAAAGATCTCAGCAATGCTGTAAGCTTGAGGAACAGATGACTAGGGGTCGGGGGGAGGACCTGATGGAATTTGGAAAGGGGACAAAACTAAGCTTGGTTCTGGACAGCCTTGAACACATGGAACAAGTCTAATACCTCTTCTCCATGACAACCCTTCAGATAATATAAAAAAGGAAATTAACATTTATTGAATATTCACCATGTGTAGGTAGAAAACAGATAATGTCTTCCCTGTGTCTTCTTTTCTGTTAAGTTTAACACTCATAGATAATCAATTAAATAAGCAAGTAAATAATGTATCTCAGGTCACGAAGCTGGTAAACCCGGGTCTGATTGAGTCAAAAGCTCAGGCACATTCTCGTGTACCTCACTCTCTCTCTGATTCTAGTCCTAAGGCTATAGCGTACCAAGAAAGAGCCAGCTGGACCATGTGAGCAAGTTCACGGGCGGGCTTGGCTGTGTCCCAGGACAGAAAGCAGTCGCTCCAGAGCTGGAGGATAGGTCTGCTGCCTGCCCACCCCCTAAAAGTGCAGAGAGTGGGCGCCATCCCTCAGAGTTGTTGCTAGCACTTGGCTGACAGGTCAGGCCAACTCTGGGAGCAGGTATAAGACACAGAAACACAGAAGCCCACTTAAGCTCTTCACTTAGCCAGGATACCACTGCTAATGTAAAAAGAGCAATAAAAGGGCAGCTGGGAGCCAGATGCAACTAAGGTAGTAGTCATAGATAACAGTCATTCTTTATTTCATCACTCAATAATATATGCTGAGCCTTAGCCCTGGACCAGGTCCTCTTCTAAGCTCTGGAAGACCTAGCAGCGGGGCTAGGTCCCTGCCCTGGAGAAACTCAAAGTCAAGTGGAGCAAGGCTACATGGAAACACCCCATGACCACACAATCTGGGGAGTGTTATCTTGGAAGAAGAACGAGAAGAGGCGAGGGGAGGCTCAGCCTAGAAAAGACTTCCCAGACAAAGCAGGACATTCTGATGTGGGGACATTTCAAAGTGGCTATATCAAACAAGCCTTGTCAAAATGGAAAATCACTGTTCTTTAAACCTAGCAAGCAAATTGAGACCAGAGATCTCCAAGCAGTACATTTGATTATCTGTCCTATTAGATGATCCTTAAGGTCTTTTTCAAGTCTGAAGTTCCTCTAGTTCAGCTCTGGTTGGATGACCAGGAAAGGGGCAATCAGGAGCACTGATTGTGGGGACACAGCTTAGGGCACACCTTTGGGTGTATTGTTCTATCTGCCTTTCTCCTCTTTCTCTAGCTCTTACTCACCAATTAGGGCCCAGATCAAATTCCAGTCCTTCCAGGAAGCTTTCTGGATCCCCCAGGAGCCTGCAGGTCTCCCAAGAGTCTCTAACTCATAGCACTATGTGCAGCACTGACTTACTGCCAGCTGCAAGCAGGGCAGGGACTGTCTGATTAATCGGTCTCCCCCAGCTACCATTCCTGTGCAGACCTTTCTTAACAAGGCACATTGAAAGGTATGCAGCAGGACTTCAGGAGGATGCTCTGGGCAGATGTGAAATGGTGATCCTGGTTGCAGCAGTGACAGGATCCTCCTGGGCCACCATCCTCATAGAACAGATCCTCCAAGGCCACTGTCCTCTTTCTGCCTTTCCTCAGCTCTGCTACTGACTTCACCAGACCCAATACTCCTGTCCTACTTATCCTAGGCTTTTTGGGGGCTCTGGAATGTCAACTGTAAACAAAATGGTATACACACATTTTGGAGAAAAGCACATTTTAGTGTGAGCTGCATTTGGAGGGCCCAGAAGCCAAGAGGAGACTGGCGATCCCACAGAAAGGACCATGGAACTTCTGAGACAGGCTGGGGTGCCGACAGGCTAGTTGAGGGGCATGAAGATCATGCCTATAACGCACTTGCAGAGCTGCATGGGAGCATCTCCTGATTTTTTACAGAAAGAAACACTTGAACACTGAAAATAAAAATAATGTCCTTCAAGTTCAATGAGCCAATCTTGGACTAAATTAAGGGGGAAATGCAAGGATGTAAGTCTTCCTCTAGGTGTTCCTTCTCAATCCAGAATATATTCACTGTGGGATCTTCCCTAAGTCTAAGGACTGGTAATGCATATTTTAATAGTGATGGCTTCTACTTCCCATTGATGACAATTCCACTGACTAGCCAGAGCATGCTTCACGGAAAATGAGGAAATGGACCAGGAAGACCTGTGCTGTCCCCAGGTCGCCTAATCCCTGACGGCCCCACCCACATCTGTGGAACACGGATGAAGGAAGCAGCCCTGGCACCCTCCAGAGTAGCAGCCAGGATGCTGAAGGAAGGAAAGAAGAGACACAAAGCATGTAGAATAAAGACCTGAGGCCAATGACTCTGGAGAGGTGGGTTCAAATACAATCCAGGGAAAAGACAGTTGCAAAAGGAGAGAAAGTAGAGAGTCAAAGACATCTGTGGTAGGCTGAATGGCAGTCCCCAAAAAGATACATCCATCTCTGACACCGAAGTACATGCTATTCCCTTGTGGCCCAGTGCAGAACCCAGAAGAAGGAGCCAATGGCAAACTCTCAGGAGGCCCACAGGGAACCTAACTCAGCCTCAGGCTATGCTAATACAAGTATATTCCGAAGTGAGGCTGTGACGACCTTGCCCCTCTCTGAGCTGGTCAGACCTCCACTTACACAGCTATGTTCAATTCTTAGCTCTGTCCTCCTCAAAGGATTGGACAAACTGGGGCATTTTGCCTGAAGAAGTAAAGATTCAGGGGACCTGATCCTTGTCTTTGAATGCCCAAATGAACTAAATGACTGTCACAGAGAAGAAGAAATAGATTTTTGTGTGGGGCTTCAAAGGGCTGAATCAAGGCCAATGGGGCAGCCATTGCCCGGAGGAAGTTTTTGGCTCAGCATAATGAAGAATTTTCTAATCATCAGCACCAGTGGACACTCAGTCGAATAGGAGTGCCTCGGGGATTGGCAGTCCAAGCAGAGAGACACTGGCTGTACAAGGGGAATCCCTGCACCAGACAAAGGCTGCACTTGATCATCTCCTGAGCTGTAACCCTGTTTGAGAGTCTACGACTGCCAGCTTAACATCCCATAACGTATGTGTGAATCTAGGTTTTTGGCATATAGACAGAGCACACTCTCACTAAGGAACTTATTATACAGTTTTTGTGAAGAAGTAAGAAACTACTCAGGAATGCGCTGGGGAAAGAAATAACCAATTCTTCCTGCCCCTACATACAAAATGCCTCTCCCCCTGCTGCCCCCTCCCTGCTCAGGGAGGAAGAAAGGGGAAGAACATATAACCATATAGATATCACCCTCTAACTAGACCAGGAGCCAAAAGTACCTGCACCAGTACTAGGGGAGATCTGGATAGCCTGGGTTTGATGTCCTTTTCCAGGAAAAATCAGCAAGAAGGGAGACTCTAACTACCAACTGAATTAGTTTCATAAGAACAAATGGCACCCCCAACTTCATTTTAGCAATTGATTTTTCTTTTGCATCCTTCTATTCTACATGTGGAACAAAGAAAATAATAAAATCGAGCAATAATTTGGAATTTTAATGTGTTAATGTTCACCAGTTAGCCTGGGAGAGGATTTTTTGGGGGGACAGTGCTGGTTTTTAACAAGCTCTAGCCTACACCCTGCATGCTGGACACTCAGAGAACAGGAAGCACAGCGTTTCTCGTTTGCCAGCGCATCTGTCTTCTCTTAAATCAAAATCTCAGAGAATAAGCACTGTTGCATCCGGGTAGATTCCTCTGAAGCTCTTTCCATTCCGGATTTTGAAAATCTGCCATGCCACCCTTTTACTGAAATGGCTGAAGTTCTCAGATCATTCCTCAAAAGAGGTCAAAAGAAAAGAATACTTTCATGCTTTCAGATTTACCACTGTTATCTTTTCTAGCCTGTAATTAGGGGTGGGCTTTCTTTCCCCCCTGAAAGAACCAATGTTGACGGCACGTATCATTTAGCAGCCAGCTTATGAAATGATTAGAAACCTGAACCATTTCTAACCACTGTAAAACTGTCTTCAAACATCAGGTGGGTCCTTGAACACGCTGTGTCACTTCAGTGAAAATAATGGCTACTGCCCTTAGACCAATCGGCCAAGCACCAAATCAGGCTTTCCACTGTCCTTCAGATGGATCGTAAAAAAAAAAAACAACAAAAAAAACCCTGTGCTTGCTTTGACAGCACATATATTAAAACTGGAATAATACAAAGAAGATTAACACGGCCCCTGCACAAAAATGACACGCAAATTCATGAAGCATTCCATAATTCCATATTTTAGATAATGGTGATGGTTGAACAACATGATGAGCATAATTAATGTTATTGAATTGTACATGTGAAAATGTTGAAATGGCAAATGTTTTGTTACATAGATATTTGCCACAATAAAAAAGTAGGAAAATTTAAAACCCTCATACTTTCAGAGCTTCAGAATGTAATCTGTAGTTACCAGAATAGATTTAAGCCAGTGTCACTCCTGTTTCAATGAACGTATCTTAAGTTTAGATCTATTTTAGAATGTAGTAAAAGTACAACTACAATAGCTGTGCATAAATCAAGATTTTATATATTGAATGGTGTTAAGTACACAGGCATATATGGTATTTGAAAGCCTTCCATACAAATTTTTTGGTGTAGTAAAGAATCCTTTTATAATGTAAATAATTATTGCCAAATTCATCTAGCTTGAAGAGTTAAACGTCATATAGTATATTTATTTAAAACAGGCCGTACTGAAAAGCAAAATTCAGGCTCATTTTTGAGGTTGCATCATTCTTCAGCTAATGATGGACCCACATTTCAAGGCATCAGAATATGGCAAGAGAGGTCAGCTGAGGACCGCAACCCCTGAGCATCAGCGTGATGTTCCTGGCTCAACTCAAATAATTTCAGACTTCTGGCTTTTGTCACACCACTATAGAAACACGTATCGACCTTGTGCTAAGGGTAGGTTCTGTGAGAAGGACTGTGGGGTGGAGGTAAGAGGGACATTATGTCGGATCTCCCAGGAGCTCCTTGTGACACGCAGCCATACACACAAGTGACCACACACAAAATCCCTCAAGACTGACTGCAAGGGCTTCCCCGCAGGGGGTAACAAATTCAGTGGGAGATCGGAAAGATGAAAACCCTGGGATGTGGGGATCAGAAGACAGTTTCCTTAGAGGAGGTAGGATTTGAGCTGCGCCTTCAGGCATAAGCAAGACCACCAAGGCTGAGGCACACCCTACTTAGAAGGAGGAGCAAATGCCTAGAGGCCTAGAGGCACATGATCTCAGGGTCCATCAGAGGATTACGTGTGGAGGGCAGGGTGAGGAAGGAGGAGAACTGAGGGAAGGGATGGAGATAGGCCATCAGGTCTGCTGGGCTGATGAGGACTCCAGACGTCAGTATCCAAACACAGGTCTCTGAGAAGCGGCATGACACAATCAGAGTCATGCTTTAGAGTACACAGAACAGAAATGTGACATTCGGAGAGTAAACAGAAAGATGGGCACGTGTTTGAGAGAGATTTTGGAAGTAAAAATGACAAGACTTAGTGACTACTAGATTTCAGTAAGGAGAGAGCAAGGAAGAAGGCAAGGTCATAGATGGCTATACATTCATGCTGTGGAGTTTCCAGTCTGGGACGGGCTGGGAAGATGATGACCCTGTGAGTGAACAGGGACAGTGCTTTGGTACCAGGGCTGGTGGCACCATGGGCTCAGCTCCACTCAAGCTCCCCCTTTACATACCAGCCTTTACATATCAAAGAGCACCTCCAGAGGCACTACTCTTAGGGCCTGCAGAGGGAGTGGAGGGAGGAGGGAAGAAAGGAGACAGAAGGAGGAAGAGAGAGAAAGAGGAGGAAGACAGAAGGAAAATGAAAGGGAAGGAAGAAGGGAGGAAAAGAGATTCTGAAGAAGTGGGTCTACAATGAAAAGTCCCCAAAGCAGCAGCAGCAGCTCTCCAAGCCACTCTGGGCCTGATCTTGTAGGTGAGAACGATGTGGCCTTTTTTCAAAACGCCGAAAACATAGTTTTGTATTGAAGGGGCAACGAGACTGCTCTGGAGTCTCCCCACTAACTGTGTGGATAGTAGTATCTGTGCAGACAGCCTGTCTAGTCCTGGAGTGCACCAAGCCCTTTCAGTCCTCAAGTTCTTTGTATTTGCTGTTTCCTCTGCCTGGAACAGCTTTCCCCCCTTAATTTAACTGTGTGGAGCCCTAGTGGCACATGGTTAAAGCACTCAGCTGCTAACTGAAAGGTCAGAGGTTCGAACTCACCAGCAGCTTCAAGGGAGAAACGTGGGAATCTGCTTCTGTAAAGATTTATAGCCTTGGAAACCCTACGGGGCAGTTCTCTGCCCTGTAGAGTCGCTATGAGTCGAAATCAACTCGACAGCAGTGGGTTTGGTTTTTTTTTTTGTAATTTAACTTTTATTTGGTGCTTACTACATACCTGGCACTACTCTGAGTACTTTACATATATCAACTAATTTAATCCTCACAACAAGCCTTTCAGGCAGGTACTATTATTATCCCCAGTTTACAAATGAAGAAACTGAGGCCTAGAAGATTAAATAATATGACCATGGAATTTATTTAGTTAGTGGAAGGGCCAGTATTCAAATCCAGGTGGTGTGACCCCAGAGTCTGCAAGTCTGCATTCTTATCAGCGCTAGGTATGTCTGGCTCCTTCCCTCCTTTAGTCTCAATGCCTTAGACAGGCCTTCCCTGACCACCTTCAGATGGTGTCCCCTTCTCCCCATTACTTCCTCTCACATTACCCAGCTTATTTCCTTCCCAGCTTATCATAATCAATAATTATTTATGTATTTACTTGTTTATTATGTTTCTCCAAGGAGCCCTAGTGGTGCAATGGCTAAAGAGCTCGGCTGCCAATCAAAAGGTCAGTGGTTTGAATCCATCAGCCACTCTGCAGGAAAGACCTGGCAATCTGCTCCTATAAAGATTACAGCCTAGAAAATCCTATGGGGCAGCTCTACCCTGTCCTATAGGGTCACTATGAGTCAGAATCAACTCCACGGCACGCAACAACAATATGCATTTACTTGTTTATTAGGTTTCTCCAACTAGAATATAAACTTTAGGAAGACAAGGACCTTTCCTTTTGCTCGAATGTACTCCTGGCACCTAGAACGGTTTCTGGCACGTGGTAGGTACTCTACATATAACTGCTGAACGAACAAATGAAGGGCAGTACGTTCTACAAGTACTACAGAGGATCATAAGGTATTGCAATTTTGTTCTTTACCCTCTTCCTTGACCACTACAAATCCCCAGCACCCTACACTACGGAAGAAGGGATCCAGAGCCCAGAGTCCAGAGTTCAGTTCCCAGTGCATGAGGACAAAGCTGATATATTTAAAACAGTGTCCGTCAAATCCCCCCACCTGGGTCCTTGAGCACTTGTGCCTGTCTGCAATGATAAACTTGTGGGAGGCACGGATTGAGTCTCTGATTAACCCTCTGTGGCCTCCCACCACCTACCATGATTTACAGGGTATTGGCTGCTGTTGATGCTTGTGTCTGATCCGAGTACCCTCTAAGTAACAGAAAGCTCCCCCAGGCTCAGGAGACATCTTGAATATAGATCACCTTGTCACAGGAACTCCATCTTCACTGTAAAAGCATGGTGAGGTTCTTCTAATCTAATGCACACTCGAAAACAAAAAGCATCCTTTATGTACTCCAACAGTGCCTAGCATAGACCTTGTCTATGAACACACTGATAAAAGAAACTAACTTGTATAAAAAAAAAAACTCCTTGTTGTCTCGTCAATTCTGACTCATAGTGACCCTAGAGGACAGAGGAGAACTGCTCCCTAGGGTTTCCAAGGAGCAGCTGGCGGATTTTAACTGCCAACCTTTTTGGTTTGTGGCCGTAGCACGCCGTAGCTCTTAACCACTGTGCCACCAGGGCCCCAAACTTGTATCAAATACTTATTATATTGTAAACACTCTGCTAGGCACTTTCACACATGATTTCATTTAGTTCTTTGAGTTTAACATTATTATTATTCCCCTTTTACAAATGAGAAATGAGCCCTATAGGGCTGGGAGGTATCTGTCTAGTAACTAGCCCAATATCCCCAAACCAGCGGAGATTCAAGCCCAGATGTGTCTGCCTTCTGAATTTTTTTCCTGTCCTCTGCAATGAACTGTTCTGCCTTCTCTTGTACTTCCGCCAGAGTCACTGTTCTCCATCCTTGCTCTGTGCTTCCCGGCCTCTATGTCTTTTCTTATACCTGTTCATTGACCTAAAAATGGCTTTTCCACTTCTCTCTACCTGTTGAAATCCTCGTCTCCTCTCTATCTTCCATGGTGCAGATTTCTCCAATCTCCCCAGTTGGAATTCACGTTCTTCAGCGTTCCCAGAGCACTGTGTCTCCAGGTTGCATGTGATAAATCCCAGAACGCCCTGTGGCATTGTCATGGTTTGAATTATGTCCTCAAAAAAATGTGTATATCAGTTTGGCTAGGCCATGATTCCTGGTACTGTGTGATTTTCCTATATGTTGTAAATCCTGCCTCTATGATGTTAATGAGGGAGGACGGGTGGCAGTTGTGTTACTAAGGCAAGACTGGATCTACAAGACTGGATTGTGTCCTGAGGCAATCTCTTGAGATATAAAAGACAAAAGTGAGCAGTGAGACCGGAGGACCTCATACCATCAAGAAAGCAGTGCCGGGAGCAGAGCGGGTCCTTTGGACCGGGGTCCCTGCGCAGAGAAGTTCCTAGTCCACGGGAACACTGAAGAGAAGAAGGCCGACAGACAGAGAAAGCCTTCCTCTGGAGCTGATGCCCTGAATTTGGACTTTTAGCCTACTTTTTAACCGTGCGAAATAAACTTCTCTTCGTTAAAACCATCCACTTGTGGTATTTCTGTTATAGCAGCACTAGATGACTAAGACAGGCATAATCCTCTTTCTTCCTCACTAGAACCTGATCTCCCAGAGGGTAGGGCCTGGTGGTTTTCTTCATGTTTGCTTCCTCCCGAATGAGTGGTGAGAAAGTGCTTGTTGAAACCAATGAAAAATGAAGAGAGAAAAGACTGCTGGCATTTGAATGTATTTGAGGGAAAAAAATGTTCTGACCAAATTAGCTTTGAGGACAGGCAAACATATGTACCACAACTCTACCGTTTTCCTGCTCCCGTCACAAAGCACACTCTCATCAGTCCTCTGATTTCATAAAGCTTGAAACTTAAAACCAGGATGTCTAGGAAGGAAATAAAATAATCAAATCATTTCCACAAGAATCCTTT